TCGGTGGTGGGTGGTTATTTTGTTACACTTTCCTAGAAAAATTCTGTAAAGATGTCCGTCGTTGGCAGGTGGCCGTTATTAGAGGTTCGAATTTATTATAAAGGTAAATTTTTTACCTAAAAATTTATTTTTTCCTAGCATTCTTTATTTGTATTCATACCTAATGGCTACAATTATCTTTGATTCGGGTGATATTAAAGAAGTTGAGGCATATCTTCCGAACCAAAGGTCCGATTTTCCTAAAAATTTTCAGAAATATTCTACCCTAATACCCAAATCTACCTGCAAAATTTCAGAAAATTACCACAAAAATCACAGGAGTTATTAAGCATTTAAAGTGGGTAAAAAGTCGTACCCTTACACTCTCTAACATCTACACAGAAAAAATACCCCAAATTTTTTGAATGTTTCGAGAACCCGCGAGTCCAAACGTATAAAAATCTTGAGGGTGGAGTGACTTTATGACCGATTCAATTTGAATTTACGTGTTCCTGTGTTATTTAACACAGGAAGGTGAAATCAAATTGAAATTAAATCAAAGGAAAGGAAAACAAGAAAAGAAAACAAAGAAAATGATTGTAAATTATCCATTTTCAATTGTTCTAATGGAAAATTACTTAATTCTTTTCGTATAATGTCATGTTTTCGATAATATTTTCAGTTAATTTCAAATGAAATTTATATCGATTTTTCATTAATCGCTTAAGGAAAGCAAATATTAAAATTTATCCATTAAATCCAGTCAAAAATCTTTTATAAAAGGATAAATTCTGACTAATAAAACAGTTATTTTACTGACTCATTTATATTATAAAAAAAATTAAATAAGCTTGCCTTTCTGCTTATTATATAATTTACTTTCTGCATGAGTGATTATACGCTTAGCAGTAAATTAGGTAAAATATATATATATAGTGTGCTTATAATAATAATAGTAATAATGCGCACACCACATTTTACATTGAGGAAATTATTAATAAGCAATTACATCTTAATAAATAAGTATAATAATAGATCAAGAGTTGATAAACCGCATTCTCTGTGTGTGTAATTTGTTTTATTCCTGTTTTCATACAGAAGTAAGACATAAACTATAATTATCTCTTTATAAAATTGTATATATTTTCTTCTGGAGTCAAGTTGTACTTTTATTTATTACAAAGTTTAAAGTGTATTTTTATATTTTAAACTGTAATTAAAGTAAGAAATCGCCTGTGTACATATACGGGGTGTATGTAAGAAGTATGTAAGTGTATTTTATGCATGAAAACAAAGGAAAGATGTCTAGTCAGTGTGAGTATAAGCATGTCTAGTTTGCGAGGAATAGTTCCTTAAAATTAGAGGAAGGTTTGTGTTTTAAAACAGAACCCTTTTTAAACAGACTCCTTTTAATCACAACCTCTTTATAACAGTGCCTTTCTACGACTTTAAGGGACTTCTGTTAAAAGAAAGATGTTTGTTTCCAAGTCGATTAGACATTTTCCTTTGTTTTTATACAATAACATTCACCAACTGTGACTACACATTTTATACACTACACCCTGTATATAAGAGGAATGTCTAGAAGTCAGTTAACTGAGTTAATAAACTTTACCTATATTTCAGTTAACTAACTTTTAGCTCTACCATTATAAAACTTCTTTTCTTAATTTACTATTTAACGGGGAGATGACACTTATATTCTTTAATTTACCTGTATTATTCAATAAAATGAAATAAATTTTTAAACTATTATTTAAAAAAAACGAAGTTGGTAATTTTGTGAATTAATAACTATAAAAACTTTTAACAAAATAAATAATATTATAATGGCATTTTAAAAAAATTACATCAGCTGACATTTTAAAATAAAACAAATTTCAAAGGGTTTTATTTTAAATTTCAGCAGGTGTTAATAATTAAAAGTCTTGTATAACTGTTATAAAATGTAATAAAGATAAATATAGCTCATGATTAATTTTATTATTTACAGTAAAACTTGTCCAAAACGAAAATTCTTCGGAGCCGAGCGATATTTTTCTTATGTTAAAAAAAGAACCTGTCCAAAACGGAACCGGAATAATATAGGAAAATTATTCGAAACTGAGCGATTTTCTTATGTTAAAAACCTGTCTAAAGCGGGAAAATTCTTCGGAACTAAGCGATTTTTTTACTTAAAAAAACTGNAACAAAAAGCCAAGCTAGCGTTTTGCATAAAAAACTACACAACTTAATAATTACATAATACATTTCGATTTAATTTAGATTTTCAATTGCCTCTAGTTTTATATTAAAACAATATTTGGACAATAAACATTGTGTTTTAATGAGATTCATTTAATTTACCACAATGCGATGGATTCCAAGTCATATCTTATTTTCCTTCATTAATTATATATAAATATTTTATCGTAAAGTACTTATGTACTCCTGTGTTTGTTTTTATTCTTTGTTTACTCATTTAGACGTAGCCTTCTATTAATAATAACATTAAACAATATTTGATTCCATAATATATTTAATGGGTAATTAAGAATTAAGGAATTCTAATTTACAAATGTGTACTCATTAAGAGCCTAAATCTATATTTATATTAATTACATTATGTAAATATTAAATAAATTATCTGGGGAATTATTGAGGTGAAATGGGTGAGCGAATAGACGGAGAGGCCTTTTATTACAATATATGGTGTAGAAGTGACACCGAAGTACAGGGAGCCTGGAGCAAAGAACATATTGGGGACCATAAACCAAATTAAATTATTATATTAAAATTTAAAGGTAGTAAGTAAAGAAATATTGTATAGGGGCCCTATTTTCTCGGGGCCCCAGGCAATTCGCTCTTTTTGTCCCCCTCTGGGCGCTCCTGCGGTAGTTCATTTGACATGCAATTTTGGATTTGAAACGTAAATTTTAACAAGGGACAACTCTAAGGTCCATGCAAACGAGAGTATTCTGTGGAGTCAAGAGATAAAACGCTATTGGATAGAACGACGAATGAAATGAAAAGGTGGATAGAAGTGAAAGAAAGTTTTTCGGAGAGGATTTAATGGTGTGGGCGTGTGATAAGGATGACAAAGGAGTGGCTACCAAGAAGAATGTTCAAATTGAAGGTGGGGAGTAAACAACCGAGACGGGAACCACCAGAAGAAAAGGTTAGAACAGGTGGAAAAGAACGTGGAAGAAAGTAATCTGGTGAACTACCTGCGAAGAGGAATGAAAGATGGACTGGAATAGATGGGTTTAGTTGACTTAAATAACGTATTTTAAGGAATTATGAACATTTTACAATACATTATTTACCATTACCAACCGGTATAATAAATTATAATATAGATTCATTATTAATTTTCGGGGGTAGTCGACGGTGGGTATTGGTGAGTCTTTTTGTTAATAATAATATTGCATTGTAGAGATTAAATTGATAGATGAAAGATACGCTTCTTTGCAACTAAGTGAAGATATTCTGTGTGTAGCGTCCTTGCAATTCAAACAATAATTTTGGTAGACGACCAAACAGCAATTAGTTAGAAAACTTTACGATTTATTTAAAACACTTTTTTTAATTCAGATGCATTTCGGGTTGGCTTGTATTCCCAACCCCTCTTCAGTGATGTTATATAATGGTACATCATAGAATTGTGATACTATATTTTTATTACATAGGTGTATGAATTTTTAGTTAATATGTATTATTCACGACAAAAGATAAAACAGGGTAAAGCAGATAACTGGTATTATCCGGTGTTCACGGAGTAACAATATACCCACAAGTCCCACACTTGTCGGTATACTGTTACTCTGTTACGCCTATGTAATAAAAATATAGTATCACAATTCTATGATGTACCATTATATAACATCACTGAAGAGGGGTTGGAAATACAAGCCAACCCGAAATGCATCTGAATTAAAAAAAGTGTTTTAAATAAATCGTAAAGTTTTCTAACTAATTGCTGTTTGGTCGTCTACCAAAATTATTATTTGAATTGCAAGGACGCTACACACAGAATACCTTCACTTAGTTGCAAAGAAGCGTATCTTTCATCTATCAATTTAATCTCTACAATGCAATATTATTATTAACAAAAAGATTCACCAATACCCACCGTCGACTACCCCCGAAAATTAATAATGAATCTATATTATAATTTATTATACCGGTTGGTAATGGTAAATAATGTATTTTAAAATGTTCATAATGCCTTAAAATACGTTATTTAAGTCAACTAAACCCATCTATTCCAGTCCATCTTTCATTCCTCTTCGCAGGTAGTTCACCAGATTACTTTCTTCCACGTTCTTTTCCACCTGTTCTAACCTTTTCTTCTGGTGGTTCCCGTCTCGGTTGTTTACTCCCCACCTTCAATTTGAACATTCTTCTTGGTAGCCACTCCTTTGTCATCCTTATCACACGCCCACACCATTAAATCCTCTCCGAAAAACTTTCTTTCACTTCTATCCACCTTTTCATTTCATTCGTCGTTCTATCCAATAGCGTTTTATCTCTTGACTCCACAGAATACTCTCGTTTGCATGGACCTTAGAGTTGTCCCTTGTTAAAATTTACGTTTCAAATCCAAAATTGCATGTCAAATGAACTACCGCAGGAGCGCCCAGAGGGGGACAAAAAGAGCGAATTGCCTGGGGCCCCGAGAAAATAGGGCCCCTATACAATATTTCTTTACTTACTACCTTTAAATTTTAATATAATAATTTAATTTGGTTTATGGTCCCCAATATGTTCTTTGCTCCAGGCTCCCTGTACTTCGGTGTCACTTCTACACCATATATTTAATATAATAATTTCAAGTAATTCCTCCTTCGTGTAGAAACGTAACTCATTGGATTAAATTATTCTGTTACGTATATTTTTGTTGAAATAGAGCGTAACGTATAACCGTTGTAGATAGTGGACGGTAATTGTTACGTGAATAATGACGTTGTGTTAATTTTTAAATTTTATAATAATTAAAATTAAAAGTTATATTTAAAAGGAAGGAAACGGTGTAGTAAGCATTGCACGTCATCGTTTTAGTACGTAATCTGCACGAAATATTAGATAAAATTTAACAATTGCGTGATGAAAAATCTTCAAAGAGTTTGCACTCTTACAACACTAGATTTATCCATTCCCCTTTTAGGTAATCAGCATCACATCTACGCTTCTGTATCATCGATAATGGCATTAGAACATTGACAGCTTCCTTAATAAAAAAAAATATAATAAATTTATATAAAAATCACCGAGGAAACAGTGTATTTTATACACCGTGTAACGAAAATAACTGCTTACTTACTGTACGGCACATATGCTTGACTTTTTTTTTTCACGTGAATCTGTCCGTCACGCTCTACTTCTGGTGAAGTAATTTATTACAGATAAACTGTGATGAGAGTAGAGCGACTTTGCATCCTCGTAACAGTTCTAGCGAGCATCATCTCATTCAGAAAAAGGATGAAGTGGTGTTGGGGGTGATGTGCCATCTTTGAATCAAGTTAAAGTGAATTATCTTAATATAAAGTATATTATATATTTAACCCCCCAAAAAATGAAGTTTTCTGAGAAAGAAATTAAACACGTGTTTCAAATTCCCAAGTGTTAATGTACGCAACAGCACGATAAAAAAAAGTTATGGTTTACACACAATTCATTGATGAAATGTTCGTTTTGCATGCTATTCTCTATACACGAAATTCTTGATTATTTATACTGTTTTACTTTCATATAACACAAGAAAGTGACCCTCCCCCTAAAGATTTTTACACTTTTGGATTAAGGGAACTTTCAAACATAGAGAAATGCAAACACATTGGGGGGGTTTATCTGTATGTATGGATGTCACCCAATTTGAAACTTCTGTGTCTTTATTGTAAAATTTCTGAAATTTTGCAGGGAGGTTTGGGTATTAGGTGGTTTGCTGCTGTTAAGTTTTGGTGGTTAAAGGTCGAGGTGATTGGGAGATAGAGAGGATCATGTGTCATATCTCGAATGGGGGTTAGACTTTATGGTTTTACTCATTATTAGCATTTCCAATTTGTTTGTTTTAATATATAACACTCATCTCTATCCTCAATAAAATATAAAAAAGTTTTTAATAAAAAAATCTCACAAAAGATGGCGTTATATACAATTTTAACCTTTTTTTAACCGAGAAAGTTACACAACTCATTGCCAGATATTTTTTCTTCTATGAAATTTGCAAGAAAATTAATCCTATATTTTATGTGAAAACACTTAAATTTTACTCTTATTTTCTTGATTTTCTTCTACAAAAAAAAGCACATAAATTGTTATTACCTTTATAATTATGTATGAGCTTGGAATTTCATTAAGCAGCACATTAATATTAAAAAAAAGAAAAGAAAAAAAAAATTAAAGTCATTTCTTGACAATATTCTGAAAGTAAAATTATCAATGACATTGGCATAGTTTTTGGAGATAAAAATGGAAGATTAATCATTCAAAAATTTACTGACCGGTTTTCTAGAATGGGAGCAAAAACAGAAAAAAAACTTGATACTAAATCAAGAAGTTAGGACGAAAGAAAGAAAATATATATATAATTTTTTTCTGTTTTCCTATCAATTTAGTAAATCTGAGAGGAAGATAACTTCGTAATAAAGTGAAGATGATGTGCAGTTTTTCTAAATTGATGCTGAGTTTTTGAGAATCTAATTTCCAGTATTGCATCTAACACCTATAGATCGACATTATTTCTTCTCCTATTTTAAACTTATTGATTTACTTTAATATATATATATATATAAACATATAATTTTTCATTTAAACTAATGATATGATCTCGAAACTTTACAAAAATTCCTGTCATTTATTGACAAGACTCAAGGGAATATCCTTCAAGAATTGGCAAATGATGTTGAGAAGTTAACTAATTTTGCTTTAGTGACCTCCCGACTTTCAGGAGACTTATACAGATCATTTAACATTTTCTGGATATGTGATCTTTATAAAAGTTTCTTCCTTTCTTTATTTTTTTAAAGAAGATAATAATAGCTTTGTCTCTTCTTAATTATGCAAAGATACAACCAATTTATAAGAGATTTTTTTATATCTTTACGAAGAAGAAAATACAAAAGATCCTTTGTGGATAAGTGCAAAGACCATTATATATATCTATGGTAAAATCGAAAAGGATGAAAGAAATGGCCAATTTTTGTTTCTATCTCAGTTCAGTGGTTAGTTATTGCTCCCAATTGGACTTTGTTTACTACGTGAGTTACAATGTTCACTGTCGAGAGTTTAGTGTGCCAATGGTGCGAAAACAACGATCGACATTACAGGATAATTGCATGTGAATCAGTAAATGCAAGAGAAGCAATTCATAAAATAAATTAAATAAAAAACTATACGTTAAATTTATCTAAACGAGGTGATTAATAAGAGTGGTAAGAAATAACGAAATAAACTCATTACCACTTGTATATCCATTTACCATTCGAGATTATTTGAATGGACGTTGAGTGATATAGATTAAAGGGTTTAAACTATTAAGAACTGAAAGGTTACTAAACCAATTTGAAATTAATTGAACCAAGAAACCGTGTTAACACATCGTGGATGAGTTTCAAAGCAAGAATCGCCTAAGTGAAAGTATCTTCTAATTGTCGAAAGCCAATAGATTTTTTCCAAGTTTCATTAGGTCTATTTATAGCAACCTCGTTTTAACGATGTCTAGAATCTTAGCCTGAAGTTCTTCACTGGGTTTTAATCAGTTCTTTCCTCAGTCTACAACTTTCTATTGTTATTAAATTTTTTTCTTTTTTCCTTTTCTCTCACTCTCCTCTTCCTCCTCCTCCTCCTCCTCCTCCTCCTCCTCCTACGAAACAACGTTTATGAGTTGATTAACTTTAACAATAACTTTAAAAGTTGTTAAAAATTTCGACTTTTTTCCCCTCCAATTTATAACGATATTGTATAAAAATAAAGTTTAAAAACATTTTTTTCTATATCAAATCGTTTATTTATAGTTTATAAAATTTAAGGTTAGAGATTTTTATTGTTAATAACGTTGGCAGCCATTCAGCATGTTTATTACAATATAAAAAAATAATCCAGCAATGATTTGCGTAACTTATCCGGCAAAATAGTTAAAATTATGTGTGGCGCCATCTGATGTATTTTGTATTATTAATTTTTAGGATACAGATGAGTTTTATAAAATTTGTAAATGGTAATAACGAATAAAATCTTAATCAAGTCCCACCGCCACTCGAGGTATGACACGTGACCTCCCGTATCTCCTCACCCCCTTGACCTTTACCTACCAAAATTTAACAGAGTGAACCCCCTTAACACGTGAACCACCATGCAAAATTTCAAAAATTTTCGATTAAAATCACGGGAGTTATTAAGCTCCAAAGAGGTTGACCCACCCCATACACTACATCCATACATACAGAAAAACTCCCAAATTTTTTAAATTTCTTTACATTTTAAGGACCCCTGAGTTCAAAAATTCTTGTAGAGGGACAATCGCAATACTTTCCCTTAGTTATATATAACAATTTACAGTTGTTTAATTATATATTTTTCTATATTCTTAAACATAGAAATAAGGCAAATTTCTTTGTTCTTAATTGCTAAATTATATTTATTCTAGATATAAATTACTCCTTACTTTTATATTGATTTTTTAAAGCAAAATTCTGCTATAGCTTAAGTTTAATTAAGTAGGCCTTTATAAAATAAATTGATTTCTTTGTTGAAGCAAGTAAGATTGCTCTAAAGAATAGAAGAAAGAGAGATCGAGTGAGGAAATTTTTTTTATTATGAGTACGAACGAACGATCGATAAAATAAGTAAACAATTGGAATTATTAATTAAATAATAATAATAATAATAATAACAACACGGAAACATTTTCTTGAAGAAAATTCGAATTTAAAGATTATTATTAAAATTTCCCAAACGTTTTTTCTAATATAAGTAATGTGAGTCGAGATCTAATGATGCCACTTGTGATATTTTCATCGTACGTTTCGAATAAATTTAAAAGAAAATACTTCATATTTTTTTTCTTGAATAACCGATAGATTATTATATTTTTCAAGAAGGAAGAAGGGGGGAAAATAACACCTCATTGAATATGCAGCGCATTACTCAAAGTGTATTATTTCTCGCTAAGTGATTCGTTATGCAGACATAAACCATTTATGATATTGTTTTGCTGCTGATTACATTTTATCCGCTTCTAAATCGATTTTGATATTCAATTAATCGAATAAGAGATATTTTGTTACCTATTCCATGTAGACCTTTCATAACCAATGTATTCAATCATGATAACCACCTCTTCTCTTTCCTCTTCCTCTTCTTCTCCCTCTTCTCCTCCTCCCCCTTTTTTTATGATTCTATCGATCACTCATCACTTTCTATAACATAAAAAAACAGGAGAGGAAAAAAAAAACGCCTCTGCTGATCTTCCTCCTATTCTTCAGAATAATCTAATGTGGCTCAACAAAGGAATCAATCGTTGTCATCAGTTTTCTCCTTTAAATGTTTTAAAGAATGGATGATATTTTCTATAAAGGAACTGTAATGCGTTTTACTGCTTTTACATTGGTTCCTGGGTTGAGAGAGACAACTGTGATTATCTTATTTCTGATTTTCTATTGAATTACTTGAAGTTATTTCTGTAAAATAAATATATAAATAAATTTTTCCCAATCGAAGACGAAGAAGAAAAACGTTTATTATCAACGATTTTAAGTTTATTTTTACGTTGTCAACCGTTATAAAATACGTTACGAGAGCTGAAATCTTAAAATCCTTCGTAAAAAAAGTATGAATTAACTCGATCTCACATTAGTAGTCTCTTGCCCCTGTACATCATACTTAACCTGATAACAACAGTCATGCCAGTCATCTATGTAACACCACTGTAAGAAAATAATTTGAATTGAAATCACGTGACTTCTTGTATGCACCGGAAGTTCTTATATACTTAATCGGGGCCTCCTTCCCCTAAGGTTTCCAAATCTGGTCATCTCGTTCATCTATCTAACTCCGTTCTCGAGATTAAGGAAAGACAGACAGACAAACAGTGTATTTAAGGCTGTAATAAGGGGTTATATAGCTGATAATACAATTTCGACATGAAATTCTGCTAGAATATTATGTTCATCACGTACCACGAAAATTTCATCTCTCTAAATCTTCCAGTTTTTGAGAAATTTTGTTTTATATAAAGAAGGAACAGACGGATGAAATGAATACATAAGTTGTTTTTATTGTTAAAAATATCGAAATTATCTTGATAATTTTTACAATCCAATAATTTTTAATAAAAATTTATAGAAAAATTGTGTTATCAAGTGTAGAAAACATATTTAAAAAATATATATATATATATGAAAAGGTGGGAAAGGAGGAGGAAGTTCGGGAATCAACATTAGAATCACGTATAACCCAGACGGCGGTTAATAGTATTGCCATGTAATTCGGGAAAATATAGAAGGAATGATAAAAGAAATCTTGTTGTTCATCATTCGAAAGGGATCTACAATATGTTTGAAGTATTCTCTTCACATTTCTGTATGCACATTTACGTAATAGTGCAGTTGGAGTGTCTGCGTTAAGATTTATTCGAAAAAAAGAAAAAGTGCATTAACTATGTAAATTTATGTATTTATGTTACATTTTTTTAATATATAAAATTAATACAATAAATAAATAATGTTTTTTAAAAGGCGTAAAATTAAATTTTCTAAATAAACAATAAAAAATACTGATTTTCTAACGCATCACCATACATTATTATCAAACATTGTAGAAGTTTGGAAAGTACTGATAAAGAGGATATACAAGGATAATTTATTGTCTTCAACATTGATCTGAGTTTATCTTACAGTTTTGTTGAACTTTCCCTAAATTTATCTGAGTTCTATTTTATTTACTCGTAGTATATCATATACGGTCAATCTATATCTTCCATTTTTATTATTCTATACAATTTATTTAATACTCTCTACGATTGGTTAATAGAACGAGTTAAGGAAATGGCGAAAAGTTTTCTATAAAGAGAATTAGGCGCTGCTGCACACATATATCTTGAGTTTATCTACTGAGTAAACATTACTTTGAAGATGGAAAAATTAATGATTTTTTCCCCCTCCTCCTTCCTGCTACAGTTTAATATAATGAAAAATGATAGATACGTCACCAGAAATATAAATCCTCAGATTTTAATCTAATTCATTTTCAACAATCTTCTGAATGGGGGGAAGGGAATTTTTCGAATATTTTTCTTTCAAATAAATTTCTCTCTCTCTCTCTCTCTCTC